GCTGGACAGAGATAATTTTCTGGCATATTTAGTTTAAAAATTACTGAAATCAATTATCAGAATTGTTGCAGATTAAACCCAGAAGCAGTGTGTGATTCAGGGGTATGAAAAAAGTGATGAATGTTGACGAGTGCGTCCCAGCCATGAAGACTGAGAAGAGGTGATTCACGTCTCCCCCCGGGTGTTCTTGAGGTGCACTGTGGTCAGAGAGATGCTCTTCCTTACAACTAATGCTGATTGATTTCCTGTCTCACACAAACATAAGGTACAGCATGCCTCACTGGCTAGACTGTGGTCAGATAGGACTTGACAGCATTTCAACAGGAGAGGTGTACTTTGATCGACACCCACAAAAATAAATACTCAAGAGACATTTAAATATGTGAAATATATTCTCACTTTAACAAATATCTTTTGTGTTGTTGTGTGCACTCCTTGTCATCCCTGATGATTTGTGAGTCAAGATGTAACAGGCATGTGGCTCACCTTTTGTAGAGCACTTATCTCTGTTGATATAAACAGAAAATAATGAGGTTTCGCTAACACTTGTCCTCTGTAGGGGATAACTGATTCATGTGAGTAAAAGGCCTGTTGCATAAGTCAGTATGGAGAGGGCTTCTCATTATTAATGAAGTGGCTGTCACTGTTCCAGAAACAGCCTCCATTCCAACTGAGTGGACTGAAATATGCATTATTTATGTGTAGGTTGCAATATGTTGTTATAGTTTTGCGCTGTTTTGTGTCATATACAACTATTCTCCTCCTGCTCTCAAGTTAAATACATAGACTTGATATAAGGAGAGCTGATCCAGTGTTAGCTTTCAGTTGTCTGTTTTGGTTTATTGGCTTGTATAAGTAAATAGGATGTGGGCACATTGCCCCTCGAGCCCAGACAAATGTCAGGTTGTGTCCCCACAGGAACGCAGTAACATCTTCACTCTTTGACCTGTCATGCATTCCACCGTCTGGTTTACTGCTCATGAGAGGGGTCAGTTGGGATTTGACTCCATCTAGGTCCACGCAGACAGTGGCATGAGGATTTACAACCATGCCATCAGGTCAAAGGTCAGGTGAAACTGAGACACCCTTGAGTGCTGGATCTCATCAAAGAGTGAGAACCCATACCAACAAGTCAATGGTTAACATCACATCTCCTAAGAATGTTTAAAAATACCTGGTATCTACTCTAGGAGTAAAAATACCTGGAGTTAATTTTAGCAAATTAGCTTAAATTGCCTAGATTTTTGTTCTTGCGCATACAAAATCAGTGATCAGTTTCTACTGGATTTAGCAAAATTTGACTTAAAAATCTACTTGCTTATGTTGACTTGACAGGCCTCGGTCACTCAAATTTGATCACCAAACCACACCCACTCTGTCCTGCGGAAGCAGATTAACCCAGGATTTCAGGTTTTCACTCTTAATCAGTGAAGAAATTTTTTTAGGCACAGTGGTAAGAGGATGATAGTGGTTTTGCATGCACACTAAAAAATTTTATTTATTTCTGGGGAAACACAAGCCTGTTGGTTGGTAATCTCCATGTAAAGGTCATGTAAGTATTTATTGCACACAAATAACTCAAAGCTACGAGTTACTTCACAATCAAAGAAATTGGAAGAAAATGGTCTTTAACAAAAAAATAATGTATAAATAAAAAGATAAAATTGACATAATGAAATGTATCAAATCATAAAACGATAATAAACTCTCAAATTTGAAGCAAACTGCTTGTTTTGTCATCATGAGCACAGTGTGCATGACTAATTGCTGCAATTAATTTTTCTTGGCATTAGAAAAAATTCACCATAGCATCATTGTATGAAACCTTCCCCACAGCTCTGGACCCCAGCCAGATGCTTCTTTTTGCTGGTTCACCTTCAGCCTGCGTTGGACCTGCAGCCTGTATACCTAAATCAGCGACGCTTATACAAACACCGGGGCCCTCCCCACCTCCCTCTCTCCCTTCTTCTACTACTTCTCTGCCTCTCCTCTCTTCCTTATCTTCATTTGTCTTTGGGGTTTGTGAGAAAAACGTTAATATTTGTGTGCTGAGCATCTCCTTGTTTCCTGGTGCCATGATAACGTTAGCATTAATAGCAGCCAACAGTGAAACAGATTGAAGTAATGAGGAGACATGGAGAGAGGCACCTGACAGAGACTCAATCACAAATAATTATTTCTAAATGAGTGTATAATGGACGGTTATTATATATATTTTTGAAAAATGGCCCATTGGCATGGCGGCCTTCCAGGTCTTTACTATTACTGGGGAAACACTGCTTAAAGATGTTTTGTTCAAAGCTTCAGTTGTTGAATCAGAATCAGTTTTATTGGCCAGGTGTGTTGGACACATGAGGAATTTGGCTCTGGTACAATGGCTCTCAATATGTTTGTACATATCTTTATGGCTGGCAATAGCAAAGGGCAGGTAAACAATATAAAGCTGAGAGAACAGAACGTAAGGAAGTGGAAAGGAATGCTCATTAGGAAGCGAGATTAAAAATAAAGTACTTATAAATAGCGACGTGTGTGTGTGTGTGTGTGTGTGTGTGT